CTCCCCCTGTCCATTCTCCAATGTGGACCATCCATGAAGACCACCAAAGCAATCTAACTCATAGGCAGGTCTGAAGCCAAATTGATCTGGAATTATTTAATTCAGTTCATCTTACTTAAGTCTCATTAATTTCAGTGGGTCTTCTTGAAATATGAAGAAATCTGGATCCAGCCCCATGACATTTCATGTTTGCATCTTATGTGTGATTGTCCCTTATAAATCACAGTGCAACAAAGTGAAAAGAACTCCCATTTCTATGCACACATTTTTTCGGTTCCCCCAAATCACTGGTTGTAGTGTTGGTGCTTGAAAGAGAAGGGAGACTACTCTGAACACTCCAAGCACGCAATGCCTATCCAGAGTTTATAAGGGATGGAGACAATGTGTAACTTGTTTTCCCTACCCTTAGAATTTTGAGTGGGCAAACATTCTTCCGATATAACACTGCTTTCTTCAGACCTATCCTCCTTCCGCTGTGCCATTGCAGACAGTAGCTTGCCATTCCTTCTGACCAGGGGCTTCTCTGCGGTGTGGGCATCTCAGGATGTGCTATTTGGAGGTGCAGGAGGAAGCTATTTATTTGGAGACCACATGTGTGATTGTGCACAAAATAAACATTGTGTTGGTGTAGGTCCAAACAGTGAAACTGAAGGTTAGGAACCAGTAGTTGCTTTTATTTTAGAGAGAGTAAACCAATACTTGTATTGAGTGTGTGTTATTAAATGTATGTAGGAACTAATTTGAGCCCTTCACCTTTCATCCTATAAATTAAGCAATGGAGACATCCAGTAAAAGAGCGGAATAGTATGGGTTGCTTGATGCTAATGTCACTATAATACTTGATGTCTGGCTTCAAGCCAGTAATATACATGCTCTTTACATATAACTGTACCAGTGGAAAGTGCCATTTAATGCCCAAAGATTCCTGTCCATTCAAAGTGAATTACACCCCAGTACAAAGTACTGGCAAAAAGTCATTAAGTGTAATCATGAGTGTAGGTTCTTAAATGCTTAATGGACCAAGTGCTTGTTCTCTATACTTGTATGGATTTCACATCCGAATGGGTTTGTTTTTTTTTAGTACTTTTAGCCACCCTTTTCATCCTGCACAGCATTTTAGCTGGGTAGATTTTTTTTCTTTGTTGCTATACTTTTGAGCAAATTTTCAGCAGCATCAGTTGTAAGTGCTGAAGCAATCCAGACATAGTTTTGTTTGAGTCCACTGCAATGCCTGGTTAAGAGCATTACTAACTTGCCTCTGGCACTGGTATCAGTGATGTAGGCAGTATAATTAATATGCAATTCCTTCTGATATGCTTTCTGAACTGTAGAGGCTTGCTGACCAAATGATTTAGCAGACCATATAATTTGAAAATATAAAATAGCCCATATTTTACGAAACAAGGCAGTCTGGCCTCAATTTGTAGGCTTGGTGTTTTCTTGAGTATCTCCCCAGCATACAGACTGCTGGCTTTTCCCCTGAGAGAAGCGCATCAAACTACTGCTTTCCATTAACTCCATAGATAACATGTAAGAGGGCATTGATCATATTTGCAGAGTTATGTCATTGGCCCGAAGGAGACATATATTTTCTTCTTTCTGCCTGCTGTCATGTTGTGGTTGGATTTTTATGTGTTAATGTGTTGAGAATGATGTGCAGCTCTTGGTAAAGGGAAAAGGCATTATGGGATTTGAAGAGAATCATCTGAATCATATTCTATAGCACAGATTATTCAAAATCATCTACCAATTCTTATTAGGTAGGCTTTTCAGCATCTTTCAGTTATGGTGTCCAGTGAGCTCTACTCCTCAGCAGCTGTTCTTACAGGAATGAGTTTTGAACATTGTAGCTTAGCCTTTCCCAACATGGTGCCTTCCAGCTACCATCAGCTGCAGCCATGTCAAGAATGAGGAGAGTTGTAGACCAAAACGTCTGGGCTTCACTAAGATAAGGAAGGCTATATACAGTATAAGCAGTGTACCTGAGCTATAGTCAGTCTAAGTATCATTACTATTATTTATAGTACAGTGGGACCTTGGCTCACAAACTTAATCCGTTCCAGGACTCTGGTCATGACCCAAATGGGTCATGAACCAAGTTACATTTCCCCATAAGGTTCAATGTAAATAGGGTTAATCCGTTCTGTAACTATTTTTTTAATCAGAAAAATGTGAAGCAAAGTGACAACAACAAAGATCTGTGGACATCTCCCTGCACCTCCACTCTGAGCATGAGCGTGGCCATATCCCCGCCCCCCCCCCCAGCATGACTGCGATCACACCCGTCATCGCTGCACACACCTGTCATCCCGGCACGCTCGGGGGCGGGGGAGATGGGTGCGAATGCAGGCACGCTTGGGGGGGGGGGGGAGATGGGCATGATCGTGCTGGTGGGGTGGAGATGACCAAGATTGCCATTGCACTTGTGCAGGAAAGATGGGCACAATTATGGGCGTGCTCGTACAGGAAAGACGGGCATGCTCTCGGCCATCTCCCCCTCCACCCCCAGCACGCTCGTGGCCATCTCCTCACTCGGGGGGGTGGGGAGATGGCTATGATCACGGTCGTCACCCAATGCGGAGTTCGTGACCTGAGTCCAAATTTTTATGAATTTTTTGTTCATGACCCGATTTGGTCATGAACTGAGGTGTCCCTGAGCCAAGGTACCGCTGTACTATTAAATTCCTATCTTTTTCAGAATTCTCAAACTGTTATGATTGGTATGGGGTGAGCCACAATCGGAAATCAAGAAATAAAATGATTGAAAAAGAAAGAAAGAAAGAGATTGAGTAAGAAAGAATGAATGACTGGATAAGAAAGTACAATTTGAAAACCATTTTCCATCCTGATTATCCTAACAGTATGATTTCTGGCATTAAAAAAAATCTTGGTGAACTTTATAATCTTATTCGTGGATGTAATGTTGTTTTTCAGTAACTAGCACAACTGTTTAAACAGCAACAAATGGAATTGCAGTAGGAAAGTACCTCTGATGCTTCTACTAATACATGTCCCAGAAATGTCTGAACAGAAGCGAGGGCAACTGAGCTGACAGCAGGGTCACAATGGACAATTAATTTAGGAAGTTAGCAGTCAGTAGAAAATTTGCTTTGGTTTACATCTGTGAAACAGATGGCCAAACACAAGATGATTTGATTATATTTGTTATGTATGTTTGAGATTAATTCAACACTTCATTATTTTAAAACCTGTGTGATATATTTAGCACAATCTAACTAAGGAGATTTATGGCAACAACATTGTTCTTTGATGTAAAATTAGTCAACTCCCAGAACATATCAGATTATGCATCTGGTTACCCTAACCAATGACAATGCACCAGAATAAATGCTGCCTCCTATTGATGGATGGCAGCTACTGTTCTTTCAACCATTAGCTTGTTTTAATCAAATAGATCATTGTGAAACACTTGGCTGCCAGTTGCTTCACACTAGAAACTTCTAGACAGATTTGCAAGAACAACCAGCCCCTGTATTTGTGCACATATGTGTGCATAGATGAGCCTGCAAGCATTTAGCTCTTACTCTGTAAAGATCTATAGAATATTCAGCTATTTTATGCTTACCAAATAGGACATTTGGCTCATTCTGACAGTGGAATATAATGATGCAAAAGTAAAGCACTTCTTGGGACAGGCCATCTAAGTTTTCATTTTTCAATGTATGTTTTTCCTTGTACAATGGTGCTTAAATGGACAATCAGATGGTAGTGCTGTCATATACTGAAAGTTTGGGAGCTTGATGCTGAACAATTCAGTGCTGAACAATTCAGTTTGCTCTCTGAAGAGATGAGTTTCTTGGGGCACATTTCATAGAATCATAGAATAGTAAGTTGGGAAGGGGCCGGAATGCCATCCAGTCCAACCCCTTAGTATTGCAGGACATAAAGTTACGCTATCCCATTTAGATGACTGTCCAAATGCTTTTTGAATGTCTTTGGCAAGTGAGAGCCCACAACTTTTCCAAGTAATAGGTTCCATTGTTGTACTGCTCTGACAGTGAGGAAATTCTTCCTGGTGTCTAGTCTAAATCTGGTTTCTTTTAACTTAAGTCAGTTATTCCGTGACCTGCACTCTGGAATGGATGAGAAGAGATCTTGCCCTTCCTCTTTGGGACAGCCTTTGAGGTACTTGTAGAGTGATATCATATCTCCCTTCAGTCTTCTCTTCCTGAGGCTGAACATGCCCATCTCTATCAATCTTTCTTCATAGGACTTTGCCCCCACTCCCCTGAATCATCCTTGTTGTCATCCCTGTTGTCCTCCTCTAGTTTTTCTGCATCTTTTTAAAAAAATATTTTTAAACCCAGAACCTGACTTGTGCCCAAGATGCCTGAAAGAACATATATTCCCATATCTTGTTAAGATGCTTATCCATGGACCATCTTGTCAATAGTGCAAGAACACAGAGGACGGAGGGATTATCAATAATCAAGCCTCACTTGTAGAATATTATTACTCTAGAATCCTTTTGGTGCTTTAGTCCAATGCCCATGTGGATATTATATGATTTTTTCCCCCCTGACATTTAAAAAAAACCTAAATAAGATGCAAGAGGCCAGATATGTCAGTGGGAAAACAGCATGAGAAGAACAGGTTAAACATCTCCTCCTTCACTACTTTTCCACTCCAAGTAACCCATTTCAAGCTAAGTTTCTTTCTCTTGCTCTTTCTTTAAAGCCAAAGGTCATTTAAAGATGTTCCAGATGTTCATTTTTCACCTAAAGTAATGGTAATTGTGACGGGCCTCAATTATGTACCTAAGGTTTTATGCACATTTAGGACCTTTCCCATTGTCTTTTGTCAGACAGCAATTAAAATATATGTTTTTCCAAAAGCTATTTATCCCACACAGAAGAGAATTTTGAGGTTCCCATGGAAAAGGTTTATAAGCTGGGGGGGGGGGGGGGGAGGGAGTCTCTTCCACCAACAGTTTCTTTTCTGCTGGTGCACAGCCAAGGCTGGACCCAATCTCATCCTTTTAAAGATAATAATAGGAAATATTTTTATTTCACTGTACATAAATTATATAAACTTAAGAGTTTTAAGGGTATCAAGACTGTGATCATAACTGTGCTTACACCAAAAGCTGTTCAATCTCATTTAATCATCTGGTTACTTTCAGTGAATGTGTTAGCATTACTTCAGGTAACTGATTTAAATGTGAGAGAGTTGAACAATGTGTTTAGTGGTGCCTCTGATGCCAATGAATTTCAAAAGTGCTTAATGAAGGCTGAACAGTGCCTGTGCTATCTTAAAAGATAGTTTCATGGTATTTAATTATTGTGCTTACAGCATGGAGATGTTGCCAATTCTTCAGGAAGAGTCCATTGATCAGTGGAAAGATATATATGTGGGATTAAGCAACCACAAACACCTTGCACAGAAGGGCTTGCCCATTTTATATTACAAATCTGTGTAATTTGCAGCCCTTTCTTTCTATGGTTCAGTGTGTGTCCAATTAAAGTGTGACCCCAAATTGAAAGGAAGACTAGCACTTTGGTAGATAAGAAAATCAAATAAATGTTAACACCAAGCGCAGGTAACATTTTGCCCGGATGTGGAATCTCTAGGTTCAGAGGCAGATGCTCCCAAGTAATTATTGCAGGAGAAAAACAACAGGAAAAGAAACATTCTGTGTCAAAATTTCTTTCCTTTCCTTTTTTTTAAGCCTGTCATTTCAATTTGATATAAATCACTTTCTAGAAGCCATTCTTGGGGTTTTTGGTTCTTATGCTTACTATACTTAAAGTGAGGAGGCTGAATGGCTTGTCTTTCATTGTACAATCTCTTCGGTGGATGGCAGGCTCCCTCATTTTCCCTATTTCAATTAAATCCCAGGGAAAGACATTGTGATATTTTTCCCCTCCCAGATTAGGAAATGTGGCTGGCTAGGGAGGCAGCAGAGTGGTGGAGGGTGAAATAGACTGCACAAGGACAAGGTAAGCTCAAAAGAAGAGCAAACCAGCAGCAGTGTCAAACAGATGACATCCCTTAGGAAAAAGAAAACAGGTACAACAGCCACTGCTAATGCTGAGCCTTACCGCTGAAAACTGCTAGAAAGTTTCTTCTTCCCTTGGGGAAATTTAGTGGAAAAGTCCCTGTATTTTTTTTATGGCTATGCAGTGGGCAATTTTGAAAGGCTGTTTTCAAACAGCTCTAGAAAGGAACTGTTGCTGTCATATCCCGCTTGTGGATTTCCTGGAGGCATTTGATTGGCCATGGTGAAAAATATTACCTTCAACATTTACCTTCAAATTTATTTTTTTAGTTGCAAGTCAGAGCAGAAAACCTGACCCTTTGGGAGCCTTGGCCTTTGTCTTCCACTGTGTTCCCAATTCAGATCAGGGAAAGTGCTATGCCTGCAGTTTAACAGGAAGAAAATGCTTGCATTGAAGAGAATGGAGGCATTTTCTCTAATAAAACTGCAGGTGTGAGTTGTCAACACACTAGAAAGCAGAGCAAAAATAAAGCTTCCTTACCCCTCATTAGTCCCAGTCCAGAACAGGCCTCCTGTGCAAATTTTTGAATATGAAAAAGGAAGAGACATGGTCTCTTCATGCTATGTATTGAAGGTAATTTTTTGCTTGGTTCATACTAGAGGTTATGACACTTGCATCGTGTGTAGCTGAAGATAACCCATCCTAGAGTAAATGTGCAGAACCCTGATTTGGATTAGTAGCTGCCTTCTGTTTCCCCTGTGGTCTCCCCTCCCTGCAAAAGTACAGACGCTTTTTAAAAAAGGAAAAAGTATCTTTTTAGTACCATGACAGCTGTGTGGGGTTTTGTGAAAAATTGCTCCACGATTAGTGTTAATGTGTACTTTGACTTTTTGGGTCTCGGGCAGTTGAAACAAGGTTTGCTAAAAGCCATGCATAGGACTGAAGTCAGTGAAGGGTTTTTTAAATCATCAGTCCTTATGGACTTGTCTATGGTTATAACATCAAGCCCAGTGAAGCAAACAGAACCTGTTCAGACACGGTCCTTGGCCAGTTTTGTTTTAATATTTGGAACCTGGAGAGACGTTGCCTCCTTGTAATCTAGGCTTGCTTGTCCTTCATATTTAAATGATAGCACTCAACTTACAAAAGGGAAGGATAGGAACCCAACAGTTCAACAGTTTATTTTATGGAAGACTAGTTCAGTCGTAGTAGTTGTTTTAACTGCTTCCTGAAAAGTACATAATTTTCGCTGTCACATGCATCTACATTAATTACTCTTTTAGAAGCGTTCTAGAGGCTTTCCCCCAAACCCCTAAATAGATGAGGATGTCATTACAAAAATATTGTGCATTTTGTAGAGGACAAAATGTACTCTGGCTATCAGCAACTGAAGTGGCTACTTTACTTTACTTAGTGTTAAGTACCATCACTCCACTGTCGCTGGGGAATACTTGATTGTAAGCAAGAAAGTTCCGGTATTCTGCTGATATCTTCAAGTGTGTGGGTGGGCATAGCAGAGGGAAGCAAGGTGGCATACATTTTGGAAATGAGGACAAAACAGTTCTAATTATAGAGGCAAAGTGTCTTAAATGCTGGGCTGAAAAGCCCAACCAATCCAGCCAGCTGCACTGATGCAAAACGAATTCACTGCTATGGGTGTTTTTATTCAAGGTTTAAGACTACAGTCCTTGGCCTTTTGGGGTAAGTGCATACCTTGGAATTTGAGAGAGTGTCTTGGGTGATCTCACAAGATGGCTGCCACAAGGTTGGGGGATTGCTGATCCTTAAAGTGGCTACCGTGGTGGTTGTGGCAGGTTACCAGTATCCATTTCCCGGAAGGTAAATCAGTGGCATTTAAAGGAAAGTAGTTTGTCCAAAGATGCAATCCTATGTCTGTTTAGACATGGAAAGAAGCCCTGAACGAAGTGGGACTAGTGAAGTACAAGCAGAGATGAGCTCCAAAACACAACATTACTCTTTTGAATTCAGACAGACACTGGAAGCAGTCCTCTTTGCAGGACGCCAGCCTCCTAGTATTTTTCCCTTAAAGAAAAAGGAAATTCAGAAATAAAATACAAATCAGGAAGGCAGGGAGCCTGGAAAGTGTCAGGGGACATGCACACAGGCACCATGTTGGAAACCAAAGGGCTAGCCATCTCTGCTGGAACGAAAAAGGTCAGCAGTACTTACTGGGCTCAGGACCAAATATAAGCTTCAGAGGTTTCCTTAAGGCAGACCTACAAGTGCCCTGGAATTCTTCTCTAGGTAGGACTGAAATAGGAGCTGGAGATGAATTCATGGCCTAACATCTCATATATTGTGAACCTCCAAATCCCCAAAAGTAAACTGGAAGCTGGGAAAGGCAGTTTGGAATGGCTTCTTTTTCCTGTTGTAGTATTGGCTCATTTCTTACTGACATCTGAGGAAATAGCTCAACTTCCTTTTGGAGTCAATGCAACATGAACCTTGGAGATGCTGCCCATCTTTCATTGCAACGGGCTGCACAGAGCTTGAATTTGCCAACCCTGGTGCCACAAGCCAGTGGTCTGTAAAGGAAAATGGAGCTGAACCAGACTTAGTCCTTTTCATGCCTTGAGTGTTTGCCTATGTATAAACGTCTGCTTCAGCAACAGGATTTTAAGTCTGAAATATCTGATTCCTTGGAGTAAAACCTACAGTCTAAACAGCTTGAGAGAAAAAAATGTAACACTGAACTGTCATGAACAGGTACAAACTGCAGGTTGAAACACTGCTTCCGCTATAATTTCCCCTCCTTTTGGCTTACACACATGCATTCCTCGGAGTAAAAGAGCAGTGAGACTGTGCATGAGGCAGTTGAAGGACACAAAGGGTGTGGACTTGGTGCGCTCCACCCAATCAAGCACAACAAGAAAGAGAGGAGCAAAGCTGTATTTTATTCTCAAGAATCGTTTGATTGCAAGCAAAAAGGCAATTGACCTAAGCACATGGTGGATTCCCCTTCTATACCTTTAACAACCAGGTAGCAATGACAGATGTCCATTAGTTTGAAATTCCCACTGCAAGTGCTGATTGGTATATTTGAATGCAGGTGGTTTGTGTGCTTACCTGGGAGGCTAGAGTACCTGGGGGTTGGGCTAGGTTCTCTGGCAGGAGATATCCTTGGTTGTGCGGATGGCTCCGGTTTCATATATAGCATTTGGGGACGTGACTAGCCTGCCTGGGCTTAATGCCAGCCAGCCAGGTATGCCCCACACAGTGACTGCTGAAGTAAAAGAGAGGCGTCCAGACTGAGAAGTATTTCTGGTCTCAAAAAGGGCAATAATAAAGGGACTTTTCTTCCTCAACTGAGGGAAGGGAGAGAAAATAGCAGAAGAAATAGAGAAAGGGGCATTATGGACTGGGAGGGTGGGAAGACATCTCAACTGTCAACAGGCTGCCATATCAAGTGCCTTGTACTTGGTAGCAGGTCTTTGTTGGAAGTATGTAACAGTACTCGTAGTATGGACAAGTGCCAGTAGTGGCTGGGGCATGGCTGGAAATTCACATGTAGTTCCTGCCCTCATTGCATTACAATATGGTGGTAGAAACATGATACATGAGATATACAATAAAAGGATAGACATCTGTTTATATAAACTATGTAAAACAGCACCGTGCAACCACGATAAGTATATTATTTTAACTGAGCTTGAAGCCACATAGTCCCAATTTATGGGGTGAAAATGCAACAATTCAGAGAAGGAAAACACGAAGAGTGTATATATTTTTAAACTGTGGTTTTATTTGAACACGGTGAACACTAGTAAGATTGCCCAGTTGATAAATGGGAGCTCTCTCTTTGGATGCCTTATCTACCAGTGCAGAATGATCATGCTGGCATTTGACAATGGGTATTGCACAGTTTGAAATTTTTTCTTCAGCTTTAATCCTACAATCAATGGACTTCTTTTCCAATGGGTCAAGGTGTTACCTTGTTTCTTTCCATGCAGGAAAAAAAGTGTTGTACAACTGCACTGAGTGACCTGCATTGTGCAGGTATCTGAGTGACACTGTTGGTAGTAAATGAGCCTCAATTCCGCTTAATAACATTATTAGAAGATTTATTTTTGCTATTTCTTGCTTTCAGTGGGAGACAGATTGTGCTTCCAATTGTGCTCAAAGAACAAATTCTGCCTTAAAGTTGTCACATTTATCATTGTGTACAATCTATTACAAGCTCATCCCTAAATCTGTTTGTAGTTTCCACCCTACTCACAGCTAGTAAATTATTTCATTAGTAAGGGGCACTACTAGCACTTGATGACTGTATAAAATGGTTCTATAAAAACTGCCATGTTCTGAAAAATGGACTGAGTACGTCATAGCTGCCCTCCTCTGTCATTCTATAACTGGCAGTACCTCCCACTTAGGTGTGGCTAAAAAAAGAAGGGCCATTTGTTTCAAACCTGCGAGAAATCTAAGTTCGGCCACAATCCTATAAAGACTTACTTAGAAATAAAGCCCAATAAATTCAGTGAGGCTTACTTCTTAGTAGACCAACCCAGGAGCACACTCTTATTTGTCTTTAATTCACAGATATTTGCTTCTTGTTTTCTCTGTACTCCCTTCTTATTTTTTTAAATGGGCAATCTTTAAAATAATATCAAGGTTTGCATCGTAATATCCACCATACAAATCTTCAGGTAGGAGCTATGTTCAGTTAATATAACCTGTGACTTGGTGCAGTCATACCTCATTGAAAACAAGGGCAAAAGCAACCAATTTTGGACTTTGGATTCAGCAACTCCATGTGCTTCTTCAGGTAAATTTCTTGGTACTTGCATGTGTTTTTATTGTTTGATTAACAGTTTGATGTGTGACGTATTTATTTTTTGTCCTACTCTTCTCAAAGCAGTACATTGTTATGTAGATTTTAAAAGGTGCTCAGGACTGTACAGACTCAGACTGGGAAGAAAAGGTGACAGGGGGGCCTGAGAAGCATGCATGCAATTGGGTGGGTGTGCTGATAGAGCAAAGCATTCCTGTGTAAGAAAATCTGATCAGGGTTCTTGCATGACCTCCACTAAAATTAACTACTGAGCCTTCACTGCCAGCATATATTCCACTCTTGACTGTATCTCCCCTGACGAAGAAGAGCCGGCTGCTTTCTAATGTCTGTTTAACTTTCACGTGAAAGGTTATGCCAATAAGTACGAATGTCCAGGGCCCAGCTTGTGAGCGAAGTAAATGTTCCTCTGATCACTGTAAAAGAGTAAGCAGATCATAGTTTCTTATTGATTATGATTACTGCGGTGCTACAAGGAGGGTAACAATATCACCTGCATTTTTGAACTCTGATTAAATGTTGTGGAGACTTTCTGTGTATGACCTTGTAAAATAACTTGTTTGCATGACTGATTAAAGAATAGGGGAGAAAGCTATGTATCAAGTATGTAGACTTTATTGTAAAGAAATTATGTGAGAAGGGCTGCTAAAGAAAGAAGAAAAATGTACTTAGTTAAACATACTGGTGCTCCAGCTGTCCCTGTTTAACTTGGGTGTTCCCTATTAATTTTGGTGCATGTCCTTGTAAATCCTCCTACCCATTTTGTATTTGTTTTTTTTTTTAATGTTTTAAGGCATTCACATGCTTGTCTTCTATTGAAACTCAGACCTGTTTATTCAAATAGTAAATACTGAAGAACACATTTGAGTCGCATTTTTTGGTAATGAGTACAACTGGTCTATTGTGAGATGAAGCACTCTGTTAAACATTATGAAATCTGAACAGATTAAAACCTATAGAAGGTGAAAATTGGAAATATATTAAAAAAGAAGAATGCAAAGCTAAAAGAGGAGCTGTTCTATCAGTATACTAGCACCCCTGAAGAAGCATGTACGAGATATACATTTAGAGTCATGAAAATTAATACCTGCTATAGCAAGTGACTGCTGTTGAAAGGCTGGGTGCTGCAGCAGTGATTTTTGGTGTGAAAATTGTTCCTATTTTGTTAGATATGCTTCCCTGCAAGGAAGTTCACAGAATTGTATGAAGTGTTGAGAATCACAGTTTGTTTCATAAGAGAACATCTGCACAGAGGTTTGAAATTAGTTCAGAGGTACATTGAATGCTTTTGCAAAAGTTCATGGTCTGGAATCATTTCCCCCAAAGCTAGAAAAGTTATGCAAGCTTCTGGGAGTTTGGAATCCTGGTTTAACACAGCCATGTTATTATAAGTTCTTAACATTTTTGCACTGTTACTAAAATGTGAAAATGATGCTAGCTCCTAAGTTTGAAGTGCGACAATGCTTTTACAAGGCTTTTTAATGCTTATTGAAAGTGAATTAATTAAATATCTGAATTCAGACTACTAAGAATTGATCCAACCATTTTAATGCAGAAGTGCATTATGGAATGTATAACCTACTGTTCCCCCAAGACCCTGAGGGCAGTGCATATGGTTCTATCCACCATTCTTCCTCACAATCACGGATGGAGAGAAAGGTTCCTAGCTCAAGCATACCGGTGAGCTTCTTGACTGAGCAGAGAGTTGTGCCCCAGTCTAGGAAGTCCTTCACCACCATACCCCATTGGCTCAATCAAGTGACCCTGACAAAAGACAGCTATGAAAACTGATTCAGTTACATAGAAACAGAGCGAGTCAGAAGGGGTCTCCCAGGCCATCTAGTCTGACCCCCGGCTCCAGCTGACTCTGCTCATGACATGTCCACCATGTACA